CATCTCCAAATTGTAACTCTCTAAGCAAATTGCTTGAGCCAAACAAGTTCACAGGCAGTTGAGGCCATAGCTCTATATTCTGCTTCTGCACTGGATCTTGCCACAACACTTTGTTTCTTACTTTTCCATGAGATCAAGTTACCACCAATGGAGACACAATATCCAGATGTAGATCTTATATCCAAAGGAGATCTTGCCCAATCAGCATCTGAGTAGCAAACAACTCTTGTATGGTTATTAGAACCATATAACAATCCTTTTCCAGGAGATCCTTTAATATACTTCAAGATACGAATGACTGCATTCCAATGATCTTCACATGGTGAATTAAGAAATTGACTTACCACACTGATTGCAAAGGAAACGTCAGGACGAGTAACTGTAAGATAATTCAATTTTCCAACCAATCTTCTATAATGCTCAGGATTAGATATAGGCCTCCCCTGATTTGGTAGAAGTTTAGTATTGGGATCCATGGGTGTATCAACAGACTTTGAACTCATCAACCCAGTTTCCTCCAAAATATCTATGGCGTACTTCCTCTGAGATATAACAATACCATCATTGGAATGTGCCACCTCAATACCCAAGAAATATCTAAGTTTGCCAAGATCTTTGGTCTGAAAATGGTGACAGAGATGTTGTTTCAACTGAGAGATGTCATGGTTGTCACTACCTGTAAGAACGATGTCATCAACATATACTATCAAGTAAACACATCCAACACTCGAGTGTCGATAAAAGACAGAATGATCTGCTTCACACCAAGTCATACCAAATTGTTGAACAACCTTGCTAAACTTTCCAAACCAAGCCCTAGGAGATTGATTTAGGCCATCTAGGGATTTGCGAAGAAGACATACCATCCCAAAAGACTCCCCCTGAGCAACAAACCCAGGAGGTTGCTCCATATAGATTTCTTCTTGCAAATCACCATTGAGGAAAACATTTTTAATATCCAGTTGATAAAGAGGTCATTATTGAAGAGCGACCATGGCGATAAATAAACGAACAGAAGCCATCTTTGCCACAGGGGAAAAGGTATCTCCATAATCCAACCCAAAAATTTGAGTATAACCTTTGGCCACAAGATGAGCTTTGAGGCGATCAATAGTATCATCAAGTCCAACTTTGATATCAAACACCCACCTGCAACCAACAACAGATTTCCCAAACGGTAACGGGACCAATTCCCAAGTTCCATTATTATGAAGAACACTTAGTTCATCTAACATGACCAGATGCCAACCAAGATGGGCTAAACCTTCACGGACAATTTTTGGAATGGTCACGGAAGAAATAGAGGAAAGACATATATAAAAAGGTAATGACAGTCGATGATAACTCAAAGCAATATAATGGGGAGAGGGATTACGTGTAGAATGAATACCTTTTCGGAGGGCAATGGGAAGGTCAGACTCATGTGTCAGATCCGGAGGAGATAGAGTAGTTGACACTTGAGTGGAGTCACATGGTGGTGGTTGTGATTGGTTTCGACAACTATAAATCTGAAGAGGAAGTGGAGAAGAAGCTGACTGCGGAGCAGGAACTAATGGTGAAGAAGACACAATTAGAGGGTCACAAACAATAAGAACATTAAATGTACTAGGAGTGTTGACAAGATTGGATGGAGACAGAGATGAAGATTGACTTTTAAAATAAAGAGACAACTCATCAAAGGTGACATCTGCAGACACAAAATAACGGTTAAGAGAAGGAGAAAAACATTTGTATCCTTTTTGTGATCTTGTAAACCCTAAGAAAACACATTTATGTGATCTAAGAGAAAGCTTGTCAAGACCAGAACTGAAATTATGAACAAAATATGTAGACCCGAAAACTCTAAGAGGTAAAGGATGAAATGGTTCATGAGGGAATAAAATGGAACGAGGTATTTTATTATCTAAAATCGAAGAAGGCATGCGATTAATGAGATAACATGCAGTAAGAAGAGCATCTCCCCAAAAATGTTGAGGAACCTCTCAATGAATTAAAAGTGTGCGAGTTGTTTCAATAAGATGTCTATTTTTACGTTCAGCTACACCATTTTGTTGAGGTGTATAAGCAGAAGAAGTTTGATGCAAAATACTGTGAGAAGCCATGAATTGTTTAAAAGAATGAGAAAGGTATTCACGGTCATTATCACTACGCAAAACTCTAATAGAAACACCAAATTCAGTTTGAATTTCATTAAAAAAATTTTGAAAGATATGAAATAATTCAGAACAATTTTTCATAAAAAATAATCAAGTGCATCTGGAATAATCATCAATGAAAGTAACAAAGTATTGTAAACCTAAAGTAGACTTAACGCGGCTAGGTCCCCAAATGTTAGAGTGAACCACGACAAAAGGGGACGAAGCACCACGTGTGAAACTACGAGGAAAGGAAGTACGACTATGCTTGCCTAATTGACATGACTCACACGCCAAACTAGATAAGTTGGACAAGGAAGGGACAAACTTCTGTAACTTGGCAAGACTTGGATGACCTAATTGAGCATGAAGAAGAGAGGGAGATGACTCCATAACTATACTAACATGTATAGAGGGACGAAGATAATAAAGACCATGAGACTCACATCCTGTGCCAATCACCTGTTTCGAACTCCAGTCCTGTAAACACACAGAATTGTTAGTAAAAGCAACAACACAATCAAGAGAACGAGTTAGACGACTGATGGACAACAGGTTAAAAGGAGACTCAGGGACATAAAGAACATTATCAATAGTTAAATAAGGAAAAAGTTTAACCGTTCCAACACCATGAGATGATACTCTAGAGCCATCAGCTAGTGTAACAGAAGGTAAATGATTAGGAGAGGATAAAGAGGAGAACAAAGAGTTGTTACCAGTAATATGGTCAGTGGCTCCTGAATAAAAAACCCAAGGACCAGGAGAAAAGGATTGGTCAGAACAGCAAAATATGTATTTGTATGTGTGACAGATATAGTGGAACTAGAAGGTTGTTGATCCTTATACCATTTGAAAAATTTGTTGAACATAGCAGGCATGTCAGATGCAATAGAAGAAGGAGGATCTCCAGCAAATAAAGTTGGGGAAAGATTGGTCTAAACAACTATAGCAGATCGAGGAGGACGACCATGTAATGCATAACACTTGTTAATCTTGTGACCTAGCTAGCCATAATGTTCACACTTAGGATGCCCTTTTTCCTATTTGCGAGGGCGAGTCCGGTCATCACGATGGGATGTCAAAACAAAAGTATCATTAACAAAATTGGAAATAGTAGAAGAAGTGGAAGAAGTCATGAAGAGCGGGAGAACAAACCCTAAAACAATCCAAAGTAATCCAATCAACTCACGAAGCACAAATCCAAAATGAGAATACTAAAAATAAGTTCGTCAAGACTAAACGGCGCAGGAGACAATGGGACGACCAACTCCGATAGTGGTGATCTCAACGACATAGTGGTCACCTGACCGAGACAAGCAAAATCATGTCACCAGTAAAAAAAAATGAAACTCCAGCGAATTCTCCGACAGCGGCGGATCCGGTGACTGCTCCAGCGACAGCGATGACAGCAACGTGAACCAGTACACCAAGTAAGTTCCTAGAAAAGAGAGGTGGGTCACTAATGGACACACTTAAATACCAAGTCTTTCCTTGCTAGAACATTCCTAGACATGCACTTTAACACTACCAAATAAAATTCAGTAACAAAGATAATTCTTTTCTGATATGGAGGATCAATTTACCAGCAGTGGTGGGGCGGCTCTAGCAGCGGTGGGGCGACTCCAACAGTGGAAAAAAAATGAAAAAAATTTCAAGATAACCTTAAGCTCTAGATACCATGTTGAATATAGAGGAAATAAGATTTGAAATTAATCTCCCTTGTGTATAAATCACACATAGGGTAATCTATTTATAATAGAGAGATACAACTAAAAGAGTAACCGAAAGTAAACAGAAGATATTATTTGATATTGTGGTTAACAATATCTTAACAATATCAAACTATATCTAAACAATATCTAACAGGATCATCAAATTTTTTTATTTGGCTCGTAGGATTAGACCAGGTTAGACTGGACTGTTCGTTTTAATAGCTCTATATGTATTATTACCATAATATACATTAGGAAAAAATTAAAATAATGTTTTTGTTAGACATAATAAATGTAAAAATCTAAATAGGTATATATAATAAGATATAAGATGTTTGAATATAGTATTTTATCATATAATAATAACAATATTATGAATATTTTATATCTATACAAAGAAAAAAAAGTGATCATATATTTTGTTGTAAATTCATGTTTTAATATAAATATAATAAACTAAAATAAATGTATAAGAAACAATATAAGTATTTATATATGTATAAGAAACAATATATAAAAAATATAATACTAAAATTAATTTATTATAATTTATGTTTTATTTATTTTTAAAATTAGTATGAAATGAGAACTAGAAAATACGAATCTCAATAATAACAAAGACTGAATCAATTTTTGACACCAATGGAATTGTGGTTAAAGAAAGAAGTCGGTGGTAAGGATTGAAGAGCCAACATGCTCGTGCCGTTGCCACGCCGATCGAGAGAAGTCACATTTTATCAAGATAAAAATGGACTTGAATTGTGTATTATCAAGTGTGTAAACCCCATTTCATTTGATAATCAAACAAGCAGTTAGTGTCTGTTGCAACATATTTAACGAGTCACAACATAAATCATAATATTAGGAGGCTCTTTAGGGTCTTGGAATGCTAACTCGGTATTACGTGCTACTGGAAGATACATACTGAATTAGATATGCCCTCCTTTTGGGTCCATGTTTCGGAACTTCCTCATCTATGTAAATGGTCAAGATATCAAACCCAAAAGAACGGGAAAGTTTAAACCCTGAGATTGATTGAATAGACTTGGAGTTCCGCCTTCAAAACCGTGTAAGTTCTCTATGCATTGCAATGATCGATTCTCAAGTAGTTCATCAATAAAAGAACTAGAAATATATAAATAACAAAAATCCATTATCCACTGGCATTATCAACACTGAAGCTTCTATCAAATGCATAATCCACAAAACTGTAGAGAGGAAAGACTCGCTCCCCGTACTTCTCAAATCCATCCAATTCTTCCTTAGCCTTTTCTCTCAGCTCTTCAGCTTTTTCTGTTGCCTTTTCTACTCCGTAAACCTCTGCATAACTCTTCCCCTTGTTTTTCCCGTCTCCACCCCCCTCAGCTTTCAATCTCTCTTCCAGAATATCATCCACAACTGCATATAATACACCAACAGCTTTCCCGTACCTCCTCAGTCTCTCTATCTCATCGTCTTCAGCTCCAGCCAGCAATCCTCCACACACTGCAGAACACTCTCCCATTTCACCAAACTTTTTTTCCTGAATAAATTCAACTGCATTGGGTCCTCCTTCAAGGTCCAGGAACTGCCCTGCAGCCATACCAGTGGAGCCCACAGAACGGGCCATCTCAGCAATCACACGGAGGAGATTGGGCTCAGGCACAAGGTCAGAGGGAGTCTGTGAAACAATGTGACGAAATCCAAGGGGAAAGAGTGCATCACCAGCAAGAATTGCCATGTCAACACCATAGATCGTATGGTTTGAAGGCTGCCCACGGCGTGATGGAGAGTCATCCATGCAGGGCAGATCATCATGTATCAATGAAGCTGCGTGAACCTGATTGCGACATAAATATAAGATTAACAATGTACCATGTATATTTAAAAATACTCAAACACATTCAGTATATTCCATTACTTTATGGTGAAGTACATACACATACTTCACAGATTGCACTTTGTATTGTTAAAGGTATTGCTAAATTAACGGTTCATCTAAAGATACGACTCTATGATTACAGCTAGCTAAAGATGGAATACAGAACACTTATTACACGAATTATTCTAAATCAAATGGAAAAGGGAGGGAATTAGGATCAGGTTTATTTGACTGGCAAAACTCTAATAAAAAAAGGTGACAATGATAAACCAAACTCTCTCATTTGCCTAAGGTCATAACATCAATAATAATAATAATAATAAAATAATAAAACTCTACACGACCAAAGCAAAATGACAGGGTGCAGAAAGAATATTACCATTTCAAGGGCGCAGGCAGTGGGGAAGGCGGCTAGGCGGTTGCCCCCAAAGAGTTCACATGCAGAGATGCACATAACAGGCGGAGCTCGCTTGGCACCTTTGGCAAGGACAGAGTACCTCATAGCTTCGTATATCTGGGGAGGAAACTGAACTGGAACAGCTTCGTCGAGCTTATGATTGATCTGCACCATTAGGGAAGCCCAATATGTCCTCAAATCAAAGTCAGAAGCTTTTGATCGAGTGGAAAAAAAGGAAGGAGAAGAAGAAGCAGCGGAGCAGCGAATTGGAAGCTTCAATTTTGCAGGCTTTGGGAGGTGGCAGATGTGAGAAGAGGACAACGTAGCAATTGCAAAAGGAGCCATCCTTGACCACTCTATATGAAAAAGGAATAAAGGAAACAATCAAAACATGTAATCATTGTTATCCCTAGAACATTAATATCCATACAAACCGAACATATACATTTCATCAAACAAGCGGTTGGCGTGAAACTTTCATAAACAACAGAAAGCATTGGTTCCTTCTAATTTCAGACACAAACAAACAAACGCAGTAAAGCACACCAATTAACCAGCAAAATAACTCAAACTTAAATAACAAAATCCCTGTGATCAACAATTTGTAATTTCAAATTATAGAACCAATCATCTTCAGGGTCAAACATTTCTCTGTTACGCCAACTAGTTAAAACCCATCGTACACAACTAAATTACAGAAAACAAGTCACAACTACAGCGAAGAAAAGATTATACCAGATACAGAATCAGGTCGAGCGCAGTAGAAGAAAAAAGTGTTAAGCAGATCCGGCAATTGGGGAGAGAGAGACTTGAATTGAATTGAGACGCATTGGCAAAACGGTATGAAATTCTATGTAAATGATACGATAAGATTTGGGAGTCAATGGGTAAACGGGGTTAGGTACGATAAGGTGTTGTCGAGCTTTTATTGGTGCAATGTTTTTAATTATCATATATATATATATTAACATGACATTCACTTACTTAAATTTACGTGTAGTATATTTCATCATTATATGCCACATCTTCAGATCAGAAAACAAAATATAGAAATTATAAGAAAATCAATCAAGAATTAAGATAAAATTAATTAAATTTGTGTAAGTTAAACTTATTGTTGCTTAAAATAGGTTTATTAGGATGATTAGTATAAAAGACTTAAGAAATAATAGTTAATGTTAGATAAAATATTTATAATATTTAAATTGAATTAGACTAATTTAAATTAAAATTAGATTTGCTTACTATAATGAATTTATAATTTATAAATTGAGATTGTTTATAAAATAATAATTATTTTTAAATAAAAAAATAAGTAATATTATTTTAATATATATATATATATATATATATATATTAATTTGATAAATGATTCATTTATTTTATGATTAAGTATTTATCACTTAATTATTTTAAGATAAGATTAAAATAAATTATTATTTGAAATAATTAAATTACTAAAACATGAATTATGATAACGAAGAAGAAATCTTTAACTTTTATTTTAAGAGTGAATCTTTCTCTTTTAATTTATATATTAAATTATTATATTTGAAATAAAAATAAATTTAATTAATATAACATTAATTTTAAAAATATTTTTTTATTTAAAAATGTTTTTTATTTTTGAGTTAATTATTTTTATATAGGTATGTTATTAATTTCTTTTTTTTTTAATTATTTAAGCTAAAATTATTTGTTAACCTATTGGCCTAACATAAGATCATACTAGATAAAAATTATGACTCATTTTAAAATATAGGTTAAGCTGAGTCATTAATTTTTTTACTTAGTGTGTAAGGTCAAGTCAAATTGTCCACCTGTTGTAATAGTTATAGTTGAATATAGTTCTAAAAATATTCTAATAAATACATTTGGGTATAATAACTCAATCATGTTATCTACACCTAAATTTGTCTATTTGTCAATATATTTATCACCTTTGCATAAAAGGCTTTTATGATGGTTAAATTAAACTAAAATAATATTTCTTATATTATAAGAAACTTAGATTCAATTCCCTTATTTGAATGATTGAAAATGATAGAGTTATTTTAATTTTAATATGAAAGTTTTAACATATTAAAACAAAATGGTTCAAAAACTTTGAAAACATAGATAAGTTTTAATCTATTAAAAATTCTTTAATTTATTAAAACTTATTTAATCAATTAAAATAGGGGTTCAAAAATATTTCTTAAGTTAAATAGAAGTTTTAATCTATTAAAACTTTGAAATAGAACCATGAGATGAATATGACATTGTATACAACATAACATACATTAAACTACAAACTATAAATGAATATGGAATTTTCTATTTTTATTCTTTCTCTTTTTCATTTGTAGTAGGACACTACTTTGAGTTTAACTTAAAGTGACATGTAAGTGGAGTGATGAAAAATTTAGAATTGTTTATATTAAATCTCTCTAATATCTTTTCAATATTTTTTTTTTTTGTGATACCATGTGACGAACAACTTTGATATCAAGAATTTACTTTATAGGACTCAAATTCTTTATTGTAAATGACTTGTTTAGTTATCTTTTGAGGTTTTGAATCTCTTATGTCCATGACTAACAATCAACATGTCATCAACATAAAGCAAGAGAATAGTAAATCTCTCATCAATTTTTTTTCATAAAAACACAATTATCTAAAGAGGTTTTATCATAACCATGATCCATCATAAAGTAATCAAAATTTCTTATATCATTGCCTTAGAGCTTGTTTGAGTCCATATAAGCTCTTCCTTAGTATGCAAACAAGTTTCTCTTTACCTTTGTGAAGCCTCCATGTTTCTCCCTATAGATCTCTTCCTTCAAGTCACCATGAAGGAAGGTTATGTTTCACATCAAGTTGCTCAACTTCTAAATTTAAACTTGTTATCAAGCTATTTACAACTCTAATGAAAGACATTTTGACCACAAGTGAAAATATTTGTTCAAATTCAATACCTTTCTTTTGATTAAATCCTTTCACGACCAACCTTGCTTAATATCTTGGCTATGAGTTATTATCTGTTGTATTTTAATTTGAAAACTCATTTATTTCTAAGTGCTCTCTTGTCTTGAAGCATCTTCACCAACTCAAATGTGTGTTCTCATATACGAATTCGTCTCTTCTTTCATGGTTGTACCACTTGTCTTCCTCTTGATGTGTGTCGGCGCCGTAAAAAAGAGGGCGGTCGGAGCGACGCGATGGTTTCCGACTCTCTTGATTTTCGCATTTTTTTTATTGGTGGTTACAACGCCTTTAGGTTGTCCGATAACCGGTCTGAACCTAGGGGCGAGGTTTTCAAAAGGGTGCTCTTGGATTTTCCGATAACCGGGCTAATCCAAGAACTAGTTTTTGAGGGTTCTCTGGAGTCGCCACCGATGTTTTTACCGGAAACATCGGAAAAGGAGTTTAAAAGGCATTGGTTTTCGAAAAACCAACTTTGGTCATTAGAACCAGAGTTGGGTAAGGGAGTTAGTTACGCGTAAAGGAAGTGTTAGTTCCTTTACGATGCCCCTTTCGGGTTCCCTATGATAGGCCAGCTATTCTGTTGATAAATAAACCAGAAAAATACGCTTTTGCCCTTTTATTTTGTGGAATTTAAAGATTACGACTACATGGCCCTAATGTCTATTGCGTAATTTAAACAATGCGATAAAAGGTAGAGAGAGAAAGTAGGAACCTCCGAAGCTAGCTTTCTATTAATTCTTTTAAAATAGGGTGCTTTGCGGCAACCCTTCACTCTACACGGCATCGGAAACCTCTCAAAATGCTCTAAAAACACTCTAAAGACACTCAGAAGCTCCGGAAATGCGTCGGAGGGATTCTAGAGAGAGAAACTATTGATGTGACTAGAGAGAGAGTGAGAAAGCTGTGTGAAATGAGGGGAAGGGAGACCCTATTTATAGGGATTCGCACCTGTCAGGTCGAGACGGCCGTCTCGCCTTGCAGGAATGGCGAGACGGCGGTCTCGCCTTTCGCGGGTGGCGAGATGGCGGTCTCGCCAAACGAGACGGCGGTCTCGCCACTTGCGCTAGGCGAGATGGCGGTCTCAATTTTGAGACGGCAGTCTCGACCCTAAAAGGCGAAAATCCTTATTTTTGTGCCAAAAATCCCTCCTATCCTAGTATGGGGCTTAATAGTCTCTCCTAGTGGCTTCTTAGGCTTCATCCATCTTCGAAAAGGAGGTCTTCTGATCTTTATTGTGAGACCGGGCAAGATTTGGGGTCTACAGCTGCCCCCCCTTTACTCGACCAGTCGACTGCTGGCCATTTGTGCCAAGGAGATCGACTGGAGGGTAAAGGAGTTGACGCTCTTGCCCGGTTGTCCTTCAGATGTTCCATCTTGCGACAATTGATCTTCTGGGGAAAACTTTGTGTTCGTGCACTTCCGGGATACTCCTTCTGACGGTAGCCAATCCCTTCGGTGGACACGTGGTAGAACCTCAGGATACTCCTTCTAACGGTAGCCGATCCCTCGGTTGATGGATATAAACCCCCCATCAGGCTGGTAGTTGCAGTCCGCTGTGTGTCGAACTGGATGGGTATGAACCCCCCATCAGGCTAGTAGTTGCGACTTACTGATCCGGCTCAAGCGCAGATCAGGCGCATCGCGTGCGCAAGTTGATAGGTATAAACCCCCTATCAGGCTGGTACAGTCCACTGCATAGGATTGGTGGTAGTGGCGGCTTACTGTTCAGGTGGCTCATGCGCCGGTGTGAAACCTCGGGATGCCCCTTTGACGCGGTGGCTGACCCCTTGGCTAACGAGTATGAACCCTTGTCTGGTTAGGTGCCTCTGGATGCCCCTTCTTGCGGTAGCTGATCCTTTGGTTGTGGTGGCGACTTACTGCTCTAGCTCATGCGTCGATGTGAGATGTGTTCTCTCGTCTTTGTTTGTCTTTTTTGAGATTTGGTCGTCCGGTCTGTGCCGGGAATTTTTGTTGGTGTCCATCCAACTTTGTTGTTTGCTGGGGATTCTTTGTTTTTTATCCATCCAGCTTGTTGATTACTGGAGATTCTTTGTTTTGATCGTTTTGGTAGTGATCATCCAACTTTGCTGGTTGTCGGGGATTTTTTATGAGTGCCTCTTATGTAGGCAGGAATCCTCTTGAAAATTTTGCTGATTTTAATGGTGCCTCTGAGCAGGCAGATAGTCCATTGAGTTTCTGGTAATGCCTCTGAGTAGGCATATGCTTCATCGGAAGTGAAGACTTTTGGCTGTATTTGTTTTGCCTCTGACTAGGCTGATATGGGGATGCTGGCTCTTGCTTGCCAGGTCTTGCCTATGCATAGGCAAATGACATTCTGAGGATGACTTCATATGAAGTTTTGCCTTTGCAGTAGGCTC